AGCAAGTTAGCGTTTGTGGTATGGTTGCGGGCGAGGAAAGAGGTATATAGCGCACTAGTACTCGCCAAGGGTCCTAACCGAGGTGTGAAGGGACGCGACGAAGGATGCCACGCCGAAGATTTCGGTGTGGTACTTGTGCTGCGTGGGCGCAGACCGTTTCTCGCAAATGCGTTGATCTTGTGTCACCAGCTCACCCCATGAGCTCACCCTGTGTTACCTGATAAATATAAGTTTTCAAAGCTTAGTAACAAGTCAGTCGACGCCTTCAGGTGGGGTAGGCACGTTCAGTCGCCGCCTTCGACACCGTGAGCCGAGCCACAAGACCTCACGACGCGCACGAGTTTGACCTCGCTGACGCGCCGCATCTAGACACTAGCGTGCGCGCAAGAGCACGACGCGCCCAAGCCAAAAAACGCTAGGGGGTCCAGTATCAACATCAGAGTACGGCACTGCATCATCTAACTGCACAGATAGAGATACTAGTTTCATAACTTCGTTTCTAATCTACAGCTTCTCGAGCGATGGCGTGCACGGCCACTGACCACTGACGCTTCTCGAAAAATGCAACAGTCGTGCCTCGTCAGCGCAAGAAGAAATTGTCAACCTGACAGAGCGGCATGTTCATAACTCATTCCATCAACTTCATTGTAGTACAGCTACTGGATTACAGACATTTGGCGACGTCACTTGGTCGCTGGCTTCGATACGCACGCAGATGTGGTGTGCACATCCCAAGACTCTTTCCGAGCCGTTGGCATCCTGCGGTGATGCACATCTGCTCCTTGCGGTGAATCTCGCAGTACCCGCCGCCGCGGTCTGTCCTCGTGCAAACACCGACCGTGCACGTGCGGTATCCGCCGTGCTTGGAGCACTTGTGCCCGCGCTGGGCGCCCTTCATGCAGCCGACTTCGTTGCAGCGCTTGCCACCGCCATGGGCGCGACAGAGTCCGCCGCCTTGGCTGCTCTTGTCGCATGCTGGTACCTTGCAGCGGGCACCGCCGCCGTGGGCCTTGCAGAGGCCTTGAGACTGCGCCGCGTTGACGCAGTTGTCAATTTTGCACTTCTTGCCACCGCCGTGGCCGACACAGAGAAGACCATTGTGGGCTTCTTTCGTACAGTCGGGGAAGGTACACTTCTTCCCACCACCATGGCGCTTGCAGACGCCCCGCGACCGCACGACGCGGTGGCAGCCATGGATCTTGCAGTTGCGTTTTGGTACCGGGAGCTCGACACTGTCTTCGGCGTCGGTCGCACCGCCTTGGCTGCTCGAGATGCTCACGGCGCGGTGCAGGGCGACCCGCCGCGTCTCTTTCTCAGGCTCGAGAAAGAGCTCGTGGAGCATTCGCGCGTCCTCCAACGCGATGCCGCGCGCGGCAGATGCGAACGGAATAGGATCAATGTGCATGGCACGGGTCGAATTGAAATATGAGCTCACCACGTCATCGCGTCTGGTTCTCTCGACCGGTTTTGGGAGACAGTGGCGAGTGCCGAAGTGGAGACCATGTGGTCGGCAATCATCACTTGGATGGGGCCGTCGTCGTCGTTGGACTTGTATATATTTGAGTCCTCGATCAAAGTCGACGCGGCTACTATTCGGTGGCAGCTGCGGACGGTCGCACGCGCTGGCCTCCAAGAAGGCACGTCAATACAAGCGCCAAGGTAGCCGCTCAACAAATGTAAACAAAGTGATAGTTGAGTGTTTAGGATCCAGTCCAGAGCCACAAGATGAACAACCCAGGAATGCGTTCGGAGCGACACTGTTGACGCGCGCAAGAGCAAGCACCACAACGCACTGACGTACCTGCGCGGCGACTGTCCACACGGTGGTGGAAGAGTGAATACTTGCTTGCTCATTCTTCTAGTTGAAGCCTTGACGAGGACATATTTCGACGACAGAATAATGATACAGCCAAGAGTGCGCATCCACACTTCAGTCGCGCGCACATGACCAGCGCATCACCAACGGTAGGTGCGATGATGCAAAATACGGTGCGCGTATCGGGTGCCGCAAAAATCTGGTCGGTTTGGAGTAGCTCGTGGCTACTCGATCGAATCCCGCTGCGAGCTACCACAAAAGAACGCGCAGTGTCGATGACGCGAGCTGCATCGATGGGCCAAGACACGCAACTCGCGTCGTTTGGCGCCATGGCACCACCGGTAGCGCACAAGCTGCAACGCTCGAACCCGAATAGTCGTTTGCATAGCCAGTGGCCCGAAGCATCATCCTAGCTCGTGCCCCACACGGACGGCGACGTCACAGTGGATACATTTGCGGATACTCATCATCATTCGCAGACGCTTTTCGCTTCAACGACGCACGCCACACGAGTGCCGTCGCGAGCTTCGTTGAAACTGGAGTCTCGGACGCAGTTTTTGGTTTCCATGCAAGTTTCCACTGCTTGGCCATCATTTTGAACCCTTCAAGCTCCGTTTGTTCAGTAGTTCCGAGTCCAATTCGCCGCCAACAAGCTCGACCGGTATCGCGGCGGCAGCACTCTCAATGACACGATGCACACACGGCACACACAACGACTGAGACATTAGTTTAGAGGGTTAGTAGCCACGTAACTTGCCGACACGGTACCGTCATTCATTTATAGTGCCCGGTGCGTAGGCAACGTGGCGGAGGCCTTTCTATGCTCTTTCGAAGGCCGTGCCTCGTGGTGAGCAACGGCAGATACACGGACGCCGTCCAGAGTCTCCACGTTGGCGAGTCCTGTGCGAGGAAGCCAGCGCCGTTGCAATTGACGACGATTTGAAATCAATTCTAGAACGCCAACGCGACGTCCCGCATTGTACGACCCTTCGTCAAGCTGGCCAATTAATGCGCCGTGCGCGGACGCTTGCCTTGTGACGAAGCTGTCTGTCGACTTAGGACCTTTCTACTGGTTTTCAGATTCCCATGATACTCGAATGCGCTGGTACGAGGACCATCAAGGAATGTCCTATTGAGCTAATCGACGCAACGACGCGTCATGGCATCTCAGAAGCCAGAACGGGTATGTGTTAACGCCACAAGTACTGTGCGTGGGACGAATGACGGACAGGGTGGGACCTTTGGGCCGTCGTTCAACAGTCGTTGTCGCGATTACTCTAGGTCTAGTAGCCCAGGAAGGGTACCAAGGGACGCATTGTATCCAAGTTCGACAGCTATTTCACCCAAATGCGGCTTCACGTACGTCGGCGTAACGCCCTTCGGATCAGCCCACCCGCACGATACCCAGTACCGCGTCGAAAAGGCGGCTGTAATATCACACGTTGTTCCTTCGATAGCGTTCTCCATTTTCGGGCTTGCTTGCGGACGAACCGGCATGCGGTCCTAATCCCCCTCAAGGGCAACAACCGCCAAACATCATGGGCAAAGGCGGTCCATACGACGCCGCGCTCGTCATCGACCACTCGAGTCTCATCCTGCTCCTGCGATACCTCTCTGCCACGAGGCACGTGCAAGACACGCTGCTGGTTCGCGCTGGCACTCTCGACACCGGCTCTCAATGGGAGCGCTATGGACCGTCAAAAGGCAACAGGTGGTCTCGATTCGGTTTCGAGCTGGCGCCCACATGTTCCAAGAGACACCACCACGTGGCCACGTTGGTTGGGAGTATAAAAACGCTCACTTGGCAACTTGAGCGATGCAGTCCACGATCGAACCCATCCCGTTTGAAGCGGTCTATCATGCACCGTTTGTGATGTTGCATGAAGACGCGTTCCTTCTCGACCTCTTGGCGCTCGACGCGCACTCGTGCAACATCAAGCTCGAGCACGTATCCGACTTTGCCACCGACTATACCGCCGCCACTCCCGTCTTCGCGCCGCATGCCATGTATGTCGACGCAATCGAGCTCGCGCTTGTCGACGGGGTCAAGAAGACGTGTTCAGTTGCCGACTGCCACCGCGTCGTCCGGTCTCGTGGCGTCTGCAAGCGTCACGGCGGTGGCAAGCGCTGCTCGTTTGCGGGCTGCGGCAAGGAGGCGCAGCACGGCGACTACTGCGTCGGCCACGGCGGTGGCAAGGCGTGCAAAATTGACAACTGCGTCAACGCGGCGCAGTCCCACGGTCTCTGCAAAGCCCACGGCGGCGGCGCCCGCTGCAAAGTGTTTGGCTGCGACAAGAGCAGCCAAGGCGGTGGCCTCTGCCGCGCGCACGGTGGCGGCAAGCGCTGCATCGAAGTCGGCTGCACCAAAGGCGCGCAGCGCGCCAACAAGTGCGCACGCCACGGTGGCTGCCGAACGTGCACGGTCGGCGACTGCAACCGCACCGACCGCGGTGGCGGCCTCTGCGAAATTCACCGCAAAGAGCGCATGTGCAAAGTCAGCGACTGCAAGCGCCTCGGCAAGAGCATGGGCATGTGCACACACCACATCCGCGAGCTCCGCGCCACGTCCGCAAACTAGTTGAAGCGCGCCTAGATAGATAGACCATTGTAACCATCCCATGTATTTAGCCACATTTGAACAACACCATCGCGTTCTGCCACTAGTTGACGCATACGCATTATTAACATCGTTGGCTGCGGCCGTATAAGCCTTGGACGCTGAGGGACAATGCGATTTGCACCTAGCGAGTCGGCATATTTGGATGCCACTGGACCAAAAGCGAAGCGCTGGACTTTGTGACTTCCTCCAAACGCTGCTTGCCAGCAATGGAATTCACAGAGTTATCATCAAGAGAACAACGTCAGTCTCTGGCGCGCGATGGCATTGCCAAAGGCAGGAGCCTCACTTATACTTGTATACCACTAGGACAGCGAGACGTAGAGTCTTCGCATCTCACTGCTGGGTTGTGTTGACGGCGCTCGCGTGGCACCGATGACATGACTAGGGTGAAATGCCAGCGACCCCAACCCTGAAAAACTACGCCTCTCGTTTCTTCCGGACGACGCTATAAACTATGCATGCCATGGCGGGTTCTCCATCCGGAAACAATTTAAAGGCACGAGTGGAAAGGATAACCTACTGGACAGCATACTGCGCTGGCTTGACAGTGTAAACACCGCCGCGACCTTTCACTTGGATCGAGCAGCCGCGCCGTGGATACGCGGCTAAACCCCTACATCTTGACCTCTGGCCACCAAAGTCCAAGCAGGTTTGCTCAAGACTGCGACTCTCAGACGCGTGCAAATGTATACTAGCGAAGCGCAGGCCTCTCTTCGAAACAACTCAGAATGGTCGCAAAGCACTGGAGCGGAGTACAGAGGTAGGAAGGGGGCACGCGTCACAGGCTCTATTCACGCGGCATGGGAAACTGATCCACGTAAATCCATTCGGAAAGGTGGCCCTTTATCGGATACATGTAGCGCCTGGAGCTGTTGCCAGGCCGCTGTTGGATGTAGGATCCTGAAGATCGCCAGGCGGCAAATCTTTATCCGGATCCGGTTAACTTTGCCAACAGCATTCGGGACGTTTGAAGAGCGACTCGCTGGGCTACAGTCAATCTGGGCTACAGTACTAAGAGTTCGTAGAGCCGCCTTCCATTACCTTTGGTCTCTGCGATGGTAAGCACTTCCCTATCACGATGGCCCCTTTTGACGCCCAACACGTACTCCACCTTACAGTTTGTATTCGCTTTTTTGGTTTCTCTACTGGCGCACACTCGATGTGTTTCCCATGTATCTTGGCGAGCGCTCACACACAATCAAGTTCAATGGACAAACTGCAGACATGAAACGACATTGCCAAGTCATCTTGGAAGTCTGCGACAGCGCCGTTCGATGCTGCGTATTGGGTACGTGAATTATTTGGCGGCATCGTCGAGCTGCCACGTCGCGGTGCAACCTGGCTTTGCGCAAAGTTCTCTTCAGACTGGTGACTCCTAGTGCCATACTAGTATACAGTGTACACTGTAGTTTATATCGATGCCAGCGTCTGTTGGAGACACCTGTCGCTCGCTAACGGTCTTCGGTGCCACAACGCTGCATCAATGGTACATTTCTCCTGCGCGCCATCGACCCACACCGAGTCATATAACCCGCGCGCTGTATCACAGAGAGCACTCGACGCCAACCACGAGCACCCGCCATCGAGGTTGATGGCGCGAGCTACATGAACATGGAACAGACTCCTCCACGTCGAACCATGCACACGCTGCGTTCTTGTGCAAGGACACGATATGTGTATGCCACCTTGAAGAGGAGAAGGAGCCTCACGCACTTGTCGGTGTTGCAGTCTCTATATCGTCGATGACGCCGTCCGAACCTTCTTGACGCGCGCCGCGTCGCCACGACACGCATCTTTTGAGAAATTCCGCATCTTTTTGCCTTGTGGACGTGGTGAGAAAGCTTTGTGTTTTGTGGAAATTTGCTTGTCCGCTTTGGTATCGCTATATGTGACGCTTGACGGCAGTTGGTTCTGAAGCGTTTTTCTTTCTGCACATTTGGTCAATGGTTAAACGAACACACACTTCGTGAGCCAGCGCGGCGAGTTACGGCGTCCCAACTGGTGGCCGCCACCTGCCGTGACGCAGCGCACGTCGTTCGCGCGGCAGACATGGTCTGCATGATTCCCTCACACTTCGATTTCCCACGATCCGCACATCTTCACCAGCACCATGTTGCCACCGATCCTCGACTGCTACCACGAGTACGAACCGATTCCGTTCGAGTCGGGCCGCCCGCCCGTCGTGCTATTGGGTGACGTTGAGTTCTTGAACGACCTCTTTGACGTCCAATGCTCGACGTTCGAGGCCATGACGATCGAGCCCATCATGATTTGCGTCTCGGCCACCACCGACCTGCCGCCCGTTCGACCTGCGCGGTCACTCAGCACTTGCAGCAGCGTGAGCTTTGGCACCGACTCGGAAGACTGCGACGCGCTCGCCAAGAAGGTGTGCTCCGTGCCCGACTGCTACCGCGCGGTGCGGTCGCGCGGCGTCTGCAAGCGCCATGGCGGCGGTAAGAAGTGCATCGTCGCCAACTGCGGCAAGGAAGCGCAGAACGGCAGCTACTGCGTCGGCCACGGTGGCGGCAAGTCGTGCAAAATCGACGGCTGCGTGAATGCGTCGCAGTCCCAAGGCCTCTGCAAAGCCCATGGCGGCGGTGCGCGTTGCAAGTATGCTGGCTGCGACAAGAGCAGTCAAGGCGGCGGGCTGTGCCGGGCCCATGGCGGTGGCAAGCGCTGCAACGAAGACGGTTGCATGAAAGGCGCGCAGCGCGGCAACAAGTGCGCACGCCACGGCGGCTGCCGAACGTGCACGATCGGCGACTGCAACCGGACCGACCGCGGCGGCGGCCTCTGCGAGATCCACCGCAAGGAAAAAATGTGCAAAATCGCCGGCTGCAAGCGCCTCGGCAAGAGCCTCGGGCTGTGTACCCCCCATATCCGCGACTTTCGAGCCCAAGACGCACATTAAGTAGAGCGTCCGCTTGGTGTTGGTCGTCATTAGAGTATTGTACAATAACATTATAGAGTGAACAAGTAGACAATTTTTCAAAGACGATTTGTGGCGAGTGTTGCGAACGTGCTCTTCACTTTGCACTTGCCGCGCACATTATTGTGCCGGTCGAGCACGCGGTTGTGCAGGACGTCAGACAACTAGCCCAAGAGACCTGGAGCGGGTGACAACGGAGCTTTTTGCTGGCGTTTGGTCGACACAGCCACATCGATCGGCGGAGCCCTAGCCGCCAACACCCAACCTTCCACTCTGATTAAAAAAAGACACCAAGTCGGCGTATCCTAGTATCTAGATGGCATGTCTGTCGGCTTGGCGTCATGGCGACAGGGTGCAAGAAAAGTACTACGTGACTGCGACGCACGTCTGCGAATGCGACGACAGCTTGGACGGACAAGACTGGTGACTCCAAAGCTCAGCATCCAAGGCAGTGCGGCGCGAGAGGTCGAGCAAGGACGCGTGGCTGTCAAGCAGCGACGGTTGCAGGCCATTGGAATGGGCTAGCCGAGCTCCAGCTCCTACAAACGCGTCGGTCGACCTGCCAGACAAATGGTTGCGCATTGCAGCCTTGAAATGTACTCTGCTTAACAAATCGATGTGCAAGCTCCTTGCAGACTTTACATGGGATGCAGCCAGAAGTACCCACGCGCAAAGTCGAGTCCACGCCGTGACGGATTTGTGTCACGTCCAACGAATTCAGTGTCCACGATGATGTATTAGTCATGAAGACGCGCGTCCACGAGAAGAAACGTAGCATTACCGTTGCCGCAGCCATGTCGTCCGTCATCAGCGCATGACTTTCTGCCGTGCGTCGTGGAGAGAAGCGTGCGACGCTCCGCACTTCATCCGACGTGGCGAGCGCACACACGCGTTCGATGTTGCCTGTCTGTCGTTGTTGATAGGGCATGGCCGTTTTTTGCTTGCGCCGATCCACAGGAGATTCGGCCCGACGCCCCGCGACGACGGCGACTCTTGTGCGACCACCTACACGCATGCTGCCGGCCTCAGCCTCACGGTACATACACCAATGACTCAGCTTGTGACTCATGCTGATAAGCAGCGTAGCATATTCGTTGACCGACGCGACGACGTTGAGAGAGCCACACGTGCATTTTCCAAAAGATGCGGCGCTATGCACCGATTACTCGACGAAAATACAGCAGCGAAATACTCATTGCGCAAAGACCAGAGAAGTGGAGGAATAGAGAAGTGGGGCTTGTTGAAATGCAACCGTGCACTGGATGACGTTGGATAAAACCATGGGGCTGCCACGCCGGTTGTTGGGTCAGCTGTTTCCTTGCGTGGTGTCATATGTTTGCCGATTAGTAGCGCCTTGCCACCATGCGGTCGCATCTCGCATACGGCCAACACCTCTGGTCTCCCTGGTCCGTCAACAGAACAACAAGTTGCCGGACC